AAGCAGACCGCCTTCCATTTTATAACTGCAAAAAAAATATAAAATAATTTAATAAAATACTAAAATATTAATTTAGTAGAATATAATATAATATATTACCTTCTAAATAAAATTTGACCGGTGTTTTGCTTTAAGAGGGTTTGATTTTTGATATGGTTTGAGAGGATTTGAGAGGATTTGGTGTGGTGGAAATAGTTGAGAGGGGGTATTTATAGGATGGGGATGGAGTGTGGGCAGATGGGTATCATTAATTGAGGGAGTGTGAACGGTTGGAATTTAAAGTAAAGGTGCGACTCATGATCCGCGACTTTCTGGCGCGTGTGTCAACTGGCAGAAAGGCGCGGATCATGATATGTGCCTTACGCTGATGTGGCGCCAGCTGGCATAAGGAGTGGATCATGAGCCGTACCTTTTAACACGTGATGCCACATCACCGTGATCCGCGCCTTTCTGCAAAGGGTGTTAGATACATAATATTTTCTCTAACAGTGTCTGACATGTAAATAAAAAAATCAGTGATTTTTTGGTAAATATGCCGACAAAATTGGTAATTACATGTTGCAATATGAAATAGTCATTTGAAATCAATTAGGAATCTTTATAAAATGAATATTAGAAAAAATATCAGAAAACCAAAATGATATAATCTTTGTATAACCTCATGACACAACAGAAAAATTCATTTTATTTTATTGATATATCACAATCAAGAATCTTAATATTTTAATTCTTCATCTGTAATTTATCTTTTACTGATATTAATTTTTATCAAATCGTTTTCATCATATATTTTTATACAATATCTTTATATACAAAATACTTAAACACAAACTAATATCATAAAATATCAAACCCTAAAATCAAATTATTTTTCAACATATTCAACTTTACAAAAACCACAACTCTAACCATAAATACCATAAGACCCTAACCCTAACCCTGACCTTAACCCTAACCCTGACCCTGACCCTGACCCTGACCCTGACTTAAAAGTTCTTTGACCCTTTCAAAAATCTCAAACACACTTTTTTAATATTCTAATAGATTTTATTTTATTTATTTTTTAATTAAATATAATATATTGTTGTTGTTGTTGTTATTACTTTTAAATTTTTTTATATAATATTATAATGGCTTTTATTTTATTTTATTTTATTTATTTAATTTAGTCTTAAACATAATATAATAATTTGATTTTATATAAAAATAAATAATTTATATTTAATTTTAACTTATAAATTTTAATAATAAATAACAATCAATTTTAAATTAAATAAAAAATTATAAATACTAAACAAATATTTTTTATATTTAACATATGATTTAACTGACATATTCTAATTAAAAAAATCCTTAAAAAATCATACAACTAAACCCTAAACATAAATTATTTAGGATAAAGTATACCATGATCACTCAACTATTTACCCATTTTATTTTTACCAACGATTTTTTAATTTTATCAATCAAACCACCTAATTATTTGATTGTATTCAATCAAACCACTAGTTGTTAACAGTTAACGGACATGGTGACATAACAGTTAAAACATTTGGCATAATTACACATCTAGTCACTAATACTTGCATCTTATATTAATTTGGTCTTAATTTTAATAAATTAAAAATAAATTTAATTATTAAATCAGATGAAGCCATGTGTCATCATCCAATTAGAGGATTAATTATATTTTAATTTATTTTTAATTCAATATACTTTTCACCAATCACAGTGTGACAATGATCACTCAACTATTTAGTCATTTTACTTTTATCAATATTTTTTTAATTTTATCAATCAAACCACTAGTCGTTAACATTTAGTGGACATGGTGACATGACAATTAAAACATTTGGTATAATTAAACATCTAGTCACAGGTACTTACATCTTTTATTAATTTGGTCTTAAAGAAATTAGCTGACCCTTATTCCCATATGTAATGGGGTACGGGGGAGATAGGATAGTAGGCTGCCCTAAATGCCAGATTGATAGCAGCTTCTGTAGGAGACCTTCGAATTATGAAATGCCCTCGTGAGACTCGATCCCACAACCCCAAGGTTAAGAACCTTGTGCTCATACAACTGGAGGATTAATTATATTTATTTTATTTTTAATTCAATATACTTTCACCAATCAGAAAGGTGACACGTGTCACCCTATGATGAAAAGAAAACAAGCAGAACAATTACCTTTAAGGGGGTTCGAACCTTGAAACCTTGGATGATTGTGGGAGTGCTCAATCGCTAAGCTAACTTACATTTTTAGACTAAGGTATGCAATATATAATATGATAAAGTATATAAATGGTCACTAAACTTTTCAGATGCTTGCATTTACATTCTAAACCTCAAATTCCAAAATACTTTAATTACATTCTAAACCTCAAATTCCAAAAATACTTTAATTACATGCCCAACCCCAAATTCATAATCCATTCTCAAAATTTGCCATAACAAACTAAACTTGAAGCAACAACCCTAAACCCTCAAAACATAACCCTAAATGCTAAATTTCCCCACCAATTAACCCAACATAATCAACAATATTTGTTTCATTTTGGGTCCATAACAATAAGTGATTATGTTGGGTTTAGGATTTAAAAGTTAGATTTAACCAACTATAAGTGAACAATACTCAATTTGATTGAAATAAATTATTTTTCAACGTGAATTGATTCAAAAAATTTGATACAAATTGATTTTGAGTTGTAATTTTATAAGCTCAACTTAAAAAATTTCAAGTTAAAATCGAGTTGTAAAATACAAATAGAATATCTCAAAAATTTTAGTAATTAGTGGATTAATTTTTAAGTTTGAGTCAAGTCCCTTGACTTGGTATGATATATGTATATCACATATGGAAAAAATATGAAGAAATATATGTATTGTATATGGTTAAAAACTATTTAAATTAGAATCAAATAATATTATATTATTATAAATATTTATAATTAAATTTAAACAGAAACTCGAAAATTCAATTCAATTCGACTTGATTTAAATTTTATAAACTCAAATCAAAAAAATTCATAGTCAACTATTTTATAAACTGAAATGAATTAGAATTAAATAATATTATAATATGATAAGTATTTATAATTAAATTTAAACAGAAACTTGAAAATTCAATTCGACTTGATTTAAATTTTATAAACTCAAAGTGAAAAAATTTCAAGTCAACTATTTTATAAACTGAATTGAGTATTTATATCCAACATAACCCTAAACCCTAAACCCAACATAATCACTTATTGTTCACTTATAGTTGGTTAAAATTTTCAAAATAGTTATGTTTTGAGGGTTTAGGGTTATTGTTTCAAGTTTAGTTTGTTATGATAGATTTTGAGAATGGATTATGAATTTGGGGTTGGTCATGGAATTGAAGTATTTTGGAATTTGAGGTTTAGAATGTAATTGAAGTATTTTGGATTTTAGGGTTTAGAATATAATTGATGAATGTGTTGCAAGTTTTAAAAGTTGAAGGGACCTAAATGCAAGCGCCTAAAAAGTTCAATGACCATTTATATAATTTACCCTAACAACAGTGAAACGACCGTTACGTTTGGGACCATATTGTAAACAAACTAAATGTTTGGTAATTGTATTACAAGTTTTAAAAGTTGGGGGGACCTCAATACAAGCATCTAAAAAATTCAGTGACCATTTATATACTTTACCCTATATAATATATATTATGTATCACTTCGTAAATTCTTAATATTTTGTATATTTTAATTTAAATTCACATCTTAATATTAAAAAAATATGTTATTTTTATCTTTATCTTAACTTATTAAATATATTTTAATTTTAATTTTAAAAATATATTTTAATCTTATTTTAAATTAAAAATATATCTTATTCTTATATACTTTTAAAAATATATTTAAAATTAAAATAAAATTAAAATAGATTTCATAAATTAAGATAACAATAAAATATTTTCAAGTTAAAATAAAAATAAATATATATTTTAAATTAAAATAAGAATAAATTATATTAAATTATTTAAGATAAAAATATATTTTTAATTTTAATATATGAATTTAATTAAAAATATATTTTTATAAATTAAGATAAGAATAAAATATACTTTTAAGTTAAAATAAGACTAAAATATATTTAATAAGTTGAGATAAAAATTAAATATATTTTTAATGTGAAGATGTGAATTTAATTTAGTATGTGGATTTAAATTAAAATATATAAAATATTAAGAATTTCCATAGTGATCCATAATATATACCATATATTGTATACCTTAGTCCAATATTGCAAGTTAGCTCAACGATTGAGCACTCCCACAAGCATCCAATGTTTCCAGGTTCTAACTCCCTTAAATTAGGTGCTCTGTGCTATATTTTCTTTCCACCATAGGATGACACATGTCACCATGTAATGGGTGGAAAAGTATATTGAATTAAAAATAAAAATAAAATATAATTAATCTTCCAATTGGATGACACATGATTTCATCTGATTCGATGATTAAATTTATTTTAATTTATTAAATTATGACCAAATTAATATAATATGTAACTATCAATGAGTAGATGTGTAATTATACCAAATGTTTTACCTGTCACATTACCTTATCCGTTAAATGCTAAGGACTAGTGGTTTGATTGTATACAATTAAATAGTTAAGTGGTTCGATTGACAAAACTAAAATATTGGTGATAAAAGTAAAATGACTAAATAGTTGAGTGGTCAATAGTTTAGTTTACCCAATTATTTATAACCTATCATAATTTATAAAAACTATATTTCTTATATAATAATAATTCAGATTTAAAATTTCTAACTTACTTTTTTCAAACTAAACTTTTTTCAGATACAACATTAAAATAAGTTAAACCAACAAGCTCAGGATCAGGATCGCCACTCATCCAGCTGAAAATTCTATGGAAGATCTAATTTTTATTTACATACATACACACATATATATAACACTTGAGGTTTCAAAATTCATTGACGAAAAAGGGAAGAAACAAAGGGTTTTGTTTGATTGAGATATGGGAGTGGTAATCATCGACGGATCGACGGTGAGAAATTTCGTGACAGACGAAGAACATTTCAATAAGTGCATGGACGAGAGTTTCGTATCTCTTGATCTGAACTCGGACGGCGTCCTCTGCCGATCGGAGCTTCGCAAGGCCTTCGAGTCTCTCCGCCTCATCGAAGCCCACTTCGGCGTCGACGTTACAACCCCGCCGGAGCAGCTGAACGAGCTGTACGACTCTATTTTCGACAAGTTCGATGTGGATGGCAGCAACACCGTCGACCCAAATGAATTCAAATCGGAGATGAAAAAGATCTTGCTTGCAATTGCCGATGGGTTGGGATCTTGCCCCATTCAGATGGCTCTCGAGGATGATGACCGGAGTAATTTTCTGAAGAAAGCTGCTGATCTTGAGGCTGCCAAGCTCGTCGCCAATCATCCTAGTTGTTCATAATCCATGCTTAAAGGTTTCTCAACCTTTGAATCTGGCACTTACAGATTCCGGTGAGATTAAAAATAAGGGTAATGAAAAGAATTAATAACTATATCAATGAGATTAAAATTAATTAGAGATACAATCATATAAAACTCGTAAAACGACTCGTCAACGTTTAATCACAAGCTATAATACTCATAAAATGTCTTGATGATAATATTTGTTTTTTGAAGTATGATGATAAAATATTAAAAAGCCTTGCACAGGCCCTTTTTGTTTAACTACTTTGATTTTATTTTAAAAGTTTTTTGCTATGGTGTATTTTTTTTATAAATAGTAAATGATATTTGTTTATTTAATCATTTTAATTTTTTATCACCAAGCTTTTGTTTTATAAAATTAATTTAAAAGTACAAAAATAACAATACCATTAAATTGATATTTGTTATTTTATTATTGTTATTTAGTATTAAACTTTACCATTTGATACAGATGCACCAACTTGTTATTTGATATTGAATGCTATTATCCGATAAGGATGCACCATCCTATTATTTGGTATTGAACTTTATCATCCGATAAGGATGTACCAACATGTTATTCGATTATTTTCACTTCACAAACCCAAATGCAACATACAAGATGAGTGGAGAAACCGTGGAAATGCGCCTTGACTAACAACGAGTGTTTCTAAGAATTGTTCGTACAAAACTAATACCCCTTTAAATTTTTCTATAAAAAAATCATAATTTAAGTACATATTTGGAATTGCAACCTTCATAGTTTAGGTGACGTATAATCACTTAGGTATCAATTTTAGGCACGGTGTGTTGCTCATCCTTTCCCGCGCGTGATAGACTTTCGAACCCTTTTCAAAATGATTTTTTGGTTAAACACGAATTATTTTTATCTTTTAAATTGATTTTTATTAAAATTATTGTAAAAGATATTTTAGGTATTCGACCTACCGAACCCAAATGTCGCTGGTGACTCCAAAGTTGTTTTTCCAAACCCGGTCTTTTAAGTTAAATTGGATCGCTCCCTGCCTAGCCAAAAAGCTTAAGGATCGTTTTGACAATGTGAAGACAAGAGATCACAAAGCAAGACTAAGCAATCAAATATAGTCAAATTCAAGTCAACATTCTTCAATATTCTTTTTGCTTTCAAAGAATACTTTTGTACCCCATTTGTATTTATTTCTCAATTGTTCTTATTTTTTTTAGAAGTGCAAACATTTCCTGTGGTTTTTTTCTAAGTTTACAATTTGTACTTTTCTCTTTGAGAGAGTGTCTCAATAATTTGGGGTATAATTCGTAAGGGAGTTGTAAGGTTATATCTTATCCTCAAAGCTTGCTACAAATTAGTGAATTTGTTAAAATCCTTAGGGGGAAACTGCCCAAATCACAGCCAAAATCGAAAGAACCTTTGTCATGGTAACCTCATTCCAACTTGTAAGAATCAAATACGGCTAGCTTAGTTGCCAAGGGACAAGACAAAATTCAGTTTAATCAACTTCCTAATATAACAAGTTATTCCCTCTCCCATGTATATAAAAATGTACAATTTATTAATTCTTTTATAAACATTTATTGATATATATATATATATATGAAACTTCAACAAAAAATTTCGTATATTAACCTGTACGAGTCACGATATATATAAGATGTACATAAACTTCAAGGTCAAGGTAAATATATTTTGTACGTTTCAAGTAAATTTAATCTGTAAATAAATATAGGATAAATGTATCTTGAATATGGTCTATTGTGTTTCCAAACTTGATTAAACACATTTATATTTTTAATTGAGAGTCAATTCACTCTAATATCTAAGACGAGATATCTTATTTTTAAAACCTAGACAACATAATATCCTAACATGAATTATTGTTGAATATTGCAGGATTGTTTCAAGAAGAAAGGAAAGAGTTCTTTATTTCATTGTACTGAAACAAGAATACTACATAGCATAGTATACACCACTGTTTTTATACACAACCTTAGCAATACAAGGAAACCACCTAATTGACTAACAACCTCATAACAACCTAGCTTCTAGAATATCTTCTAGACTTCTCTACACCTGGGCATGCATGGAGTTGCATGCACATGCATGGCATTACACAAGCACACTCCTCATACACGTGAGCTTGCATCATTCTCTCAACATTCTCCCTGCTTCTTCCCTTCTTCAGCAAACAAGCAAACATTCAAATTGTCACGAAAACTAGCAAAGGCTGTTTTTTTCCAAGGGTTTAGTTAGGCCATCAACAACTTGATGAGATGCTAGAACATAGCTCACACATAGTTGATTTGCATCAATCTTTTCCCTAACAAAATGCACGTCTAAGTCCACATGCTTGGGCTGAGAGTGATACACTGGATTAGCACTTAACGCAATTGCACTAGTATTATCACACCATATTGCTGGTTGTTTATACTGTGATACCTTCAAATTAGTGAGGAAAGCATCAACCCACGCTACTTCAGCTGTTGCGATTGCGAGGCTTCTATATTCAATTTCCATGGTTTATCGGGACACCACCTTTTGTTTGAAGCCCTCCTACTAGGCTTCAAAATTCTTGAGCATCAGTAAATAACTTTCTTTCATCCTTATTCAACCTTGATGAAGCTACCATAGGAGTAGAAGTGCATGATGCCTTAGTCATCTTTGTCTTCTCAAGCAATTCTAGAATATATTGTTTCTGGCTAAGAATCAAAAACTGATCACATCGCTTGACCTCAATGCCTAAAAAATAGTGCAGTTCCCCAAAATCCTTTAAAGAAAAGTGATTCTTTAACAACATAACCACCTTCTCAATTTCATTCGAGGATTTCCTAGTTACTATTATGTCATCAACATATACTAAAACATATGTTGACACTCCCCCTGCTGTCAAAACAAAAAGAGAAGCATCAGCTTTGGATTCTTTAAACCCGAGATGCACAAGACTACTTTTCAGCTTAGCATGCCAATTTCGTGATGCTTGGCGCAAACCATAGAGAGACTTCTGCAGCTTGTACACTAACTTGATGCCATTAGGAGTATACTTCTCAAATCCAGTGGTTGTTACATGAACACATCTTCATTCAGATCACCAAGAAGAAATGCGTTGTTGACATCAACCTGCCTTAATGGCCATCCTCCAGAGACCGCAAGTGCAAGTATAATATTTAATGTAGCAAATTGCACCACTGGACTAAAAGTCTCCTTGAAGTCTTTCCCAGGTACCTGAGAATACCCCTTAGTGACCAACCGAGCCTTGTACCATTGGACAATTCCATCATAATTGTGTTTTACCTTAAACAACCACTTGCAACCAACAGTGGTCCGTCCTTCAGGTAACTAAACAAGCGACGATGTACCATTACTTTGAAGAGCAGTAAGCTCAGCATACACAACTTCTTTCCATTCCTTGGACTTCATTGCTTCATCAATAGAAGTAGGAAGTGACTCATCCAAAGAACTAATAAACACTTTGGGTTTAAAGATCCCACGTTTGCTTCTTGTCAATATAGTATGTTGATTAACAAAGGCTACATTCTGATCAGTGGAAGGTTTCACGCCAGCACTGGCTATGTTTTCAGGTACTCTAGTGGATAATTATGGAGGCTCAAGACCAATTAACTCAGCCACATTATTATCCATAGTTGAATTAGAGGCTAGAGTTAACACCACCTTGAACATTAGAGTCAACACCATCTGCATGTTCATGCGATGACGTGTTAGAGTTTATTGATGAACCAGACATTGCCCTTATTCTCACTCGCTCGGGAACAACCTGCAAGGGAGCAGACCTTCATGCACTATTATGAGGAACACATTCAGGTTGTTGCTTATCTGTAAAAGGAAACACATCCTCATCAAATTTAACATGCCTTGAGATATAAAAGCGACCATCCTAACCAAGACATTGAAAGCCTCGATGTTGCGAGCTGTAACCCAAGAAAACACAGGGTGTTGATCTAAACATCAATTTATGCTGCTGAAAAGGCCTCAAGTGCGGAAAACAATGACAACCAAATACACGTAGTGTGTTGTAATCTGGTTTTGAACCAAACAACTACTCAAATGGTGAAATATTACCTAACACTCTAGTAGGCAGTCGATTGATTAAATGAGAAGCTGTAACCACAACATATAACCAGAACCGAAATGGAAGAGCAGCCTGAGCTAGCAACACAAGAGCCAATTCAACCAAATGACGGTGTTTACGTTCAACTACACCGTTCTGCTCAAAGGTGTAAGGGCATGTGACTCGATGAGAAATGCCTGCACGAGTTAGTTCACATGACAATCACCTATATTGGCCTCCCCAATCACTCTGAACAAACTTTATGGGAAAGGAAAATTGAGTGGTAACCATGGCTTGAAATAATCGAAACACATCAAGTGCCTGAGTTTTATCCGTTAGCATGTACACCCATGTATGACGTGTACATGCATCCACAAACGATACATAGTATCGATAGCCACATGAAGAAATATGTGCAACACCCCAAAGATCAGTAAAAATAAGCTGAAATGGAACATCATACACAGTAGTAGAAGAATTAAAAGGTACCTTATGACTCTTTCCCATGCAACAAGAAACACAAGTTGTATTTAAGCTATTTGGAATGTTAACATTGATTGAATTACATACATATTTCAACGTTTGAAAAGTAGGATGTCCTAATCGCCTATGTTAAAGGTCAAATACACTAGAACCAATAACTTTAGCTTTATTACACAAGAAGACTTTAGGCTCCATAGCAAATGTGTACAGCCCTTCATGTTGCTACCCTCGAAGAACCACTACACCAGTTACTTTATCTCAAACAAAGCACTTATCAATATGAAACTCAATGAAGACATTGTTGTCCCTAGCAAGCTTTGAAACCGAGAGAAAATGTTTTGTTATTTTGGGCACATACAAGAGACCACTCAATATTAAAGCTCGAGAAGAAGCATTTAAAACAGTTTTACCAATCGAGTTCACCGCTAGTGACACACCGTTACCTACTAGAAGATTACCTGGGCTAGTAAAATCAATGGAATGCATCAACTTGGAGAC